AATAACGGTTGTTCGGAAGAGTTTTTCCCAATTTAAGATTCTAGTTCTAAATCACTTTCCCAGGAGAAAAATCGTATAAGAACAGTTATTTAGAAGAGCAGACCTGATCGGCTCCTCTTGAAAAAGAAATTCTACCAATCTAGAGAAAAGTTGATCTAGCGTTTGGCTGCTCGGGCGTAGCCAAGTTAAGATTAATGCTCCCACTCTACGGTTGACTGCATGGMATGCAGAATCACATGAATCTTTTCATAATAAGTAAAATTTATTATTTTCAAAGTTGAAAAATATAAAAAAACAATGAAATATAATTCATGTAAAACATAGTTCATAATTTTTCTAGAATAAATATATAAATTTTCCATAAATATATTAAAGTTTGATAAAAATATTCTCTGATAATAGAAATACTAGTACGTAATTTCAACGTRTTGTTTAAACTTGTTCTTGTTCTTGCTTTCTGTCAGCTAGTACTCCTTTCAAATATTGAACAACTTCCTACATCAATCCATCAATCAATATTATTAGCAAACATGGCAAATCAATCAATCAATTATTCAATCAATCAACCAACCATCCAGTCAATCAATCAATCAATTAATCAATCACTCGATCAATAAATCAATCAGTTGTGACGTACCATCAATCAATAATCATTACATGTATATCAATCAAAGACAAAGAAAGTTTTCAAGCACTTTAAAATTAAAAAAGAAGGAAAGAATTGCGATCTTTCATGGAGGATTGGATGAATAAAAAATCAGCCAAAAGAAATTTAGAATAAGCCATATACTCAATAATACTTACAACTCTTCCAAATGATTCTGCAAAATCGAGAGCTGTTCTTCCGAACTGAGGATCAAGAAAACAGTAAAAAACTGAATAATATTACAAATTATAATGATATTGGATTATACAGGATATTAAAAGTAAGTTATATAACACATAGTGAATATACARAACATTCCTTAATTTCCTCTTTGTTACAGAGTCATCAATGCTACTGTAAATAAGACAGATAGCTGCATAGCAGCTCTACCCCTCAAGCTGCAATACAATGTAGTACAGAACCTCTGCCTACATTACACTGTTCATACCTCATTAACCATACATATATCAGCTCCATTTTCAACTAAAACTTTGCATAGTTGCACTTGACCAGCAAGGGCTGCCATCTACATGTAGTAAAATATTACATAAATATATAATATTACATAAAACGTGAATATATTATTTATCATTACCTGTAACTTAAAAGATAAATTATTATTTAAATTAGAATTTGATTAGGTGACTCATAAAGCAAGCTAYGCAAGCGAATAAAATAATTAAGACTCTTAATAAGAGACAAAATGGTAAAGATAAGATGTTTATCACTAAAACATGAATCTCTTAATTCAAGAGCAACTTCGGTTCCAGGACCACTTGCTTGTGGACAGTTCTATCAACTTTTTGTGTTTTCCAAGGTTCTGATTTAATGTGAGATTCAACCGTACTTAACCCCCGTCTACACAAGCAATTTTTATGTGACAACTACATGTGTCAATTTTATGTGACATTTGTCCACACAGGTAATTTTCTATATGTGACAATTTTTAGTTGTCCCTTAAAAACTAGCATGCAAGTTTTCCAGCAACTACAGTTGCCACATAAAAATTGCTCAATTTTGCTCATCTACATGGTGATTTGGCAATTAAAAATTGCCACATAAAAATTGCTCATGTAGACAGGGCTTTATAATATTACAATGTTCAACTTATTACCATCAATGCGCTTGTGTCTGAATTGTCTTTTATATTGACTTCAGCTCCCTTATCTATCAATGCTTGAGCTACTTCTGCACTTCCTCCTACATTTGCTAGTTAATAAAAATTTAAATAAAACAATAAGAGATTTTCTTCAAAATTTAAGATGACTCTGGTTTAAGATTTATTTTATTTTGTATAGCCGTCATAAGATAAAACGAGTTGACAGGGGGATGGAACACTTGTAAAACATTGCACATAAAAGCATTTTCACAATTTTGCTAGGAGACTGTTTCACAGATATGGTAAATGGCACCCTCAGGAACCCAGGGATAATCCTGTCATTTTTCTTACTCCCTAGGAGTGAGGAATGAACAACTACAGAAGATTACAACTGGGTTCCCAAGGATGGGTAAATGGCAGAACCCACATGTAACTATTTCTATTCTGCTCTATAAAGGCTATATACAAYTGTGTAACAAATAYAAGATACAACTGTATGTACCTAGTCTTAAGAGAGATGACCAGCCAGAACCATCTCTTTGATCAACCTGTTTCATGTACATGTAACAACATATATGTAAGATTATAATAAAACATTTGACAGAGATTGAAAGGATGAAGAGACAAATACGCCAGTGGTCAATAAAAATTTTTCTTTCCTTAAAACAGGTTTTATAAACAGAAAATAACATTGACCTTTACTCCATCATTTTCTARTAGCCACGTGACACAATCAAGTTTATCTCCATCGATAGCACAGTGCAGAGCAGTAGCACCTCCATTATCAGTCTTGGTAACATCAGCACCATGCTCTTGAAGGTATTGTGCAATTCCCAGATGTCCACCAAAACAGGCTAACATTATACTATTATAATATGATAATAAGAAACAATTAATTTAATTTATTTGGTCATYATAWTGGGATTRTCTAAGCCCGMGAAARGTTCTCTTTTAATAAAGAAAAGTTWCCAACACCTCWTTGGTAGCTGYCATCATTGAAGSAAGACATATCAGTTGAACCTRMATCCAGCTACATTTTTYTACMCTTAAAATATTTTASTAATAAATGCTACATGTATATCATTCTGCATGTCACCAATGTAAGCTCAGCAGTGCTGCTATATGTAACATTTACTGTCAATGTACTAAAGTTCAAAATGGCCTTGGCATCTGTATAATGGAGAACTTGAACAAGAATTGCAGTTACTGGTTAAAGTATAATATYATAAATATTAAAAACCTTGTTTTTCCACTTGAATTCTCAAAATCCACTTTAGCRCCATGTTCTACAAGTGCCTCTACAATACTAAACAGACAGAGCAATGGAAGTGATTAATTCTCAATGTTTTGCATATTTAAGTACATAGTGTCTGTAGAGAGGAGGATGGAGAGAAGGGGGATATAGGGAGAGAAGGGAGAATAGGGGGAGGGGTGGAGTGAAGGGAAAAGTTACCTTGAATATCCTTTCTGAGATGCAAGCATTAATGCAGACATGCCACAAGCGTCTGGAATATCAATGATCTCTTGTTCACTGGAAAATAAAAGATTGTCAATCAAAAGATCAAAAAGATAAAATTGGATATTTTCTTAATCAACCTTTCATCTAAAATTCTTTGGACTTTTTCAACTTCCCAGTTGACAACCGCTTTATACAGATCACGTCCAGATAATGGCACCTCTAGAATATCATCAAATGAAAAARTTAACTTAATGGTCCTTAATAAAGTTATGAAATTATACAGACAAAATAAACAAAGAAAAAACATGTTGTGCAGCTATTGTTGGGATCCAAGTTTACCATAGGTCGCACAACGAATGTACACGCTTTTTTATTTACGCTTTGGGTGCGCTTTGGTAGCAAAATGCGGATAACCTATGGTATTACAAATGATCCCTTGCCTCGCGGGATCAAAAACTTAGTCTGTGATTGAATAGTGCTAGTCTTGCGTAAAAGCATGCACATTTGTTCTTATTTTCCTTCTTTCAAGCAATAGTTRGGTGGCCTATGTCCAAACCAGGCATAATACAAACCATGTCTTTCATAGCTCACTTACTTGTAGTGGTAACTGTTACAGAAGAACTCCATGGACTTGTTCCAYTRCTAGTTTTCACTCTCACACGATATCTGTATGTGGTATTGGGATCAAGGCCTTTTAATACATAGCTTCTTGAAAAACCACTGGAGAAAATAACATTTCACAAAACTAATGTCAGAGAAATTGATTTAAACAACAAGGTTGGGTTATCAATCTTCACATATCAATCAATCAATCAATTTATCAATCAATCAATCAATCAATTGATCAATCAAACAATCAATCAACCAATCGATCAATCAATCAACCAATCGATCAACCAATCAATCAATTAATCATTCAATCAATCAATCAGGCAGTCTGCAAGCAATCAGCAAGTCATCTAGCCAGTCAATCAATTGATCGATCCATGGATATCAATCACTTATTCAATCAATCCATCAGTCGTCAGTCTGCAATCATTTGTCTATCACCTGTAAACATTACCAAAACCCCTTTGCTTTCCTTCCTCTTCCTCTTGAATAGAGTAATGTCTCCTCTCTTCTGATTCCTTTTTATTTGTTTCATTGTAGTCTTGATCCCAGCTGAGCTCAACGCTAAAATGACCAACTTTGCCAACAACTGGAGGTTGAAGTTGATCTGGTGGTTCTTCACTTGACATCATGTAATTTTTAAACCTCAGGCTTACATTTTGAGTGATCTAATAAAAGATTATTAATCGCAAAACGACATAAAAAAGAAGAAGAAGCAAACAACAGCAAAGAAATCATGCAACAACGAGAACGTATTAACAGCAGCTGTTGTGGCAGATTATTAATCAATGAATCCGAGTTGACAAATTATTTTAAGCTTATAGAAACCCACAAATTTATTGTTTTATGAATCGTATATGTACCTTTATTAAAGACGGGAAGCCCTTTGAGTGCCAAGAAATAGCTTTAAATTTCAAAGAAAATCTTGCTCGTTTCTTCTTGGATCGACTCAGAAACTGTCAACACACAAACTTGTGATTCCCGCGTCAGCCCTCCAAAACATGACGCACTAGGGGTAGACTAAACAGGAATTAATGCTATGTCAAAAAATAAAATAGTAAAAATAGGAATATAGCCATTAAATACATCGTATTTCTAATTTTTAAAGAAAATTAATAATAAAAGAAAAATGTACAATTTTTAGGAGACTTAACCGGTTATAAATAAACATGTTTTGGTTGTATAATTGTTTTTACCCTCTCCCTGTAGGTAAATTTTTGACCCACGTGCGCCGAGACTTGTACAGCTGTCTCCGCCATGAGAATAAACCATCAAAACATGGCGGATCGAGGAAGTGTCTTATTTTTATAATTTATCTTAACTATATCTCATTWATTTACCAAGAAGCCGGAGAAAAAGTACACTAGATACCTTTSCTAACGATGAAACTGTCTCCTCGCGTTCTTCCTGGCGCTCTACATCAGCATAATAAGGGGGCGTGTGACTGGTATGTACACAAGTAGCTAAATTGTAGCAAGGAATCTTACCTCGTGTGCTTTCGAGGCGCTAGCACAACCTTGAGCTCATTTGTCTTGTGTTTTTTTAAATCCTGTTMATTTTTTTACAATTGGAAAAACACTGGCAAATTAGATCGTAAATTTAGATATATAAAAACTATATTTTTAATTTTGTTTTGCGATCTCGTAAGCATATAAGTAACCAGAAGCGCAAGTCGAGAACAACAGAAACCACTAAAAGAATATATTCAAGCATGCGACATAATACATTGACATAAGCATAGCAATTAGCGTAAAGCCAAGCATAAGGTGGTCGTAAAGACAAAAGAATAAACAAAGAAAAACAACTTTATTTGGCACTCTCTGTCCCTTTAATGCGGCCATTAGTAACTCTGGAGAAAATCTTAGATTTAGTTTTGATATTTCTTTTCAGGGGCTGGCAGTCCTTGATAGCATATGGCTGCCATAATCATGTAGTAATATTTGATCCAAAGACCATTCAGGTATTATATTTGTGCAGATATTTTTAAAAAATAATTGAATTATTAGTCCAAGTTCTCCTATCTATTTTCTTTGTCATTATTTCCATTTCCCATTTCCCATATTTCTTTTATTCATTTGTTTTCCCAACTTTCSAATCATGTTTTCAAGATGTCACGGTCAAGTCCTTGATCATTGCTTCTGGTAACTTTGAGGCAATTTTCTTAATTTAAAGTTTTATTATCTTCAAGGCCATTCAGATATTGGACTTGCATACAGCACCSTGCACAAAGGTAATGTAGTATGTAACTATACATCTACCCTGGGCTGGAGAAGGTGTATTTATTGACTTTCCCCTCAAGATGCCTGGTTTGGCCGTTGTTATAGTTCACAGCTAGCCAGAGGAAACTGTGCTTAAGTC